GTTTTTTTATTCCTTATTATTATGGACAGACTAGTCGAGGAATCTGTAAATGAGAAGAGGAGCACAAGAAAGCCTTTGTTGGAACAGCCTTTTCGAGAATTTGCGCAACATTGATTCCAAAAGAGGTATAATAATAATTGGAACTCAAAGGTGTTGGCGATTGAATCTAATGCAACAAAACGAATAATAAAAGAGAGTCTACTCAGGGACTTGTTTCGGGTTAAAAACTGAAAAGAGGTTTACTCTCATAAAATTTTTCAGTTAAACATTTTCTGAATATGAATCACAACGAAGAAAAACTTGCGTGTTTCTGTGAAAAATCTATCACTATTTAGGAAAACATCACATTTTTAGAAGAAAATATCGATGTTTTTAAATAAAGGATTTTATGGAACTGAATTTTAAAAATCAGTCCCAGCTCTCGTCGTAATCAAAAAATGTTTTAGTCTCACTTTTCTGTAGTTATCCTTCTACTGCTATTATTGGCATTTTATTCTGCGATAAATCAAGCCGTGGCAAAAATTGTATAACTCCATCTTGTATTTTTCTACAGTTATCCTTAGAATAGGACTAAAAACGTATATGTTTCTAGGGAAGACATAGGGGATATAGACATAGGGGAGCCAGACTTTTGATTTCCTTTTTTGTTTCCAAGAAAAATAAAAACCTTCCGAAGATTGAAAAAACTTTTACTAACTTTTTGAAAACTTTATTTTTCATAGAAACAGAAAAGGAAATCAAAAGTCTGGCTTTCTTATGTCTTAGAGAAAAGTATTGACCACATTTTGAGACTAATCAGAGATTTCTAGCTCATAGAATGACCTTGTGTGACAAGACTAACATTTACTGGAAATTCCATCAAGATCGGATGTTCTCTAACGAAAACAGAGTTTTGACATCGGGCCTTACGCTGACGATTTTTTGACGATTTTGATTAGGAGATGAATGGGTGCTTACTTTTTCCATTTTTGATTCTGTTATCAAATGTTAAGAATAAACCACATGCATTATCGTATATTAAATATTTCGGTAAAGATACTGATGGTGAAAAACGTTCAATTATCGAAAATATATGGTGTAATACTCTCATGGGGGATTCTGCTCTATATAATTCATGGAAGCCGACAATAATTCCACAATTTGTAGTTGTCAAAATTATTCCATGAGATGTTGCTCGTGCCGAGTAGCGATCGGTTCTGTTGGAAAATAGGAAAAAACAGACCCAGGTAGGTTAGGGCACTGGAGTTGCAAAGTCACCCACCTTGCTACATTACAATCGATATCTTCATAATCGTCACTAATTAGCGTTGACGATTGTGGTTTCAATTGATGAATTGTGTTTTTAGCCAAATGAATATGTTTAGGACAGTACGTTGTACTGATCCAGTAACCGGGATTATCTTTGTCAGGTATCATTTCTGGACGAATACCACAGCCCCACTGAAGCGTTCCTTTAAAGAATAAAGTCGAGCAGTAAATAATGATCATATGAAGACTAGCGAAGAACCTTTTTATCATTTTAAGTTCAAACTTGTTCAAACTTGATTTTTCATAAGGAGTTTTTCGTGGAGAATGAGAAAAAAATAGTTTTGGAAAATGAAAATAACGATAAAGATGAAAATTTTGCTTATTTTTAAAAATTTCACTCATTTTTGTTTGTTGTTAAAATAACAATATTTTGAAATTTTTTCCCAAGAATATCAATTTGTAAAGACTAAATTTATACTTTTCCTATGTAACTCGATGAGCTGAGAAAAACGAAAGAAAATCTTGCTTAACTTTAGAATTTCCCGCACCTTACCTAATTCTGGAGAACTTATTGTTTCTTCGGTATATTGACAAATAAATCTGTCGGGTTTTTGAAAACCATCCACCACTAGAGCTAATGTGCATTGAGAACAACATCTATGTGTAGTAAAATGGTTTGTCCAAAATGTGGTAAAATCTTTTTCCCATCTTTTGAAATTACATTCAAAATATTGATTATGTTCCTCTCTATTACTAATATTTAATGGAATTTCCAAATGACTTTTTGTTGATGAAAAGAATGTAAATAATGCTGTGCCATAAATCAACCATGTATTTTCGAATACTCGTCTTTCTAGCAATATCTGATTTTTTAGTTCTGCACTATCAGTATCATGTTCTTGTAATAGTATTGAACGTATTGTATTGTTATATGCTTCACAGAAATTGTCAAAACCCGTATACATATGTGTTAAATCTGATACATAACGTAATATTAATTCAATAGCACGTACATTCTTCCCACCGAAATGAATATGTTTTTGGTTTACTAATGAATTATT